ATTTTTAATCATATTTAGTCATGACTTGATAAAAATACTCTGAAAACTATTTCAAATAAATTAAACCATTCATCACAATTTTTTCCCATTTGTGCTTCCGATTTCTCTATCTCAACATTCTATTTTCTCTAATTTTATCGATTTCTCTTTTCGGTATTCGTCTACTATACTCCCGATTTCTCTCTCTTACGCTTTTAGATTTTTTTTTTTAGCACTTTGAAGACATCAAATGATGATTTTGATGTGCTTGAGTGAATGGCTATTATAGATATTTGAAATAGTTTTTAATTGAATCAATTCGGGATCTCGACACTAATAAACTCAAAAATTTAAAATTCATAAACCTAAGTTTTTAATAAACTTTTTTTTCGATTTTTAGTCAAAATAGGTGTTTTAGATAAAAAAAAATTTATGTTTTGATTTATAAAAACATGTTAGAAATACTTTAATCATTGTCAAATTGTTAAAAAAGTAAAAAAAAATAAAGAGAGTTGAGAGAATTTGAAGTTTTAATTTGTAAGTAACAACAACAATTTAAGCATTAAAATGTAACAAAATGTTTTTTAATATGACGTGTAACAATAATATTTTTTCAACATAAAGTATAATAATAGTATTTTTTCTTTCCACATGACGTGTAATAACCTTTTTTAATCATAGTGTGTAACATGTTTTTATACCTAACATATAACAATAGTATTTTTTTTAACATGATGTGTAACAACTTAATTATGACGTGTAACAATCTAATTATGACATGTAACATGTTTCTGTATATGATGTGTAACATAATAACGTGTAATTCTATTAAAAGTAATTTTATCCAACTTAGCTAAAATTATAAAGAGAGTTATTTTTAAAAATATTTTAATTTTAAATATTATTTTTAAAAATATTTCTTTTAAATATTACCTGTTAAATATCTATACTTTAAATACCCCTTTATCTATTATCAATGGTTGCTCCAACTTGTGCCGGACAAAAAATAAATAAACAAAGGAGTCCCTGGGGGTCTTTGTCAGCCCAATTTCGGAAAAGAAAAAGGGTGGATCAAGAATCTTCATGATTGAACAGCTTTATTCATTCTTTAATAAAGGATGCAATATACTATACTACGTGGATGTTCACATTTTTTATCCAAATTGAAAATAAAGAAAACACTTTATTTTAGTATTTTAAATTAAAACGTTTACACCTTTTGATAATACTATTATTTAAAGAATTTTTTTAAAAGCCAAAAGCAAAAGAAAGCGTGGTCTGAAATGTAGAAAAGTAAGGAATATAGACATTTAAATAATAATAATAATAATAATAATAAAAGAGAACATAATTTTGTAATATTTAAAGTTAACATAATTAAACTGGCTAAAAAGAAAAGAGTTTTTAGTATTTCAACTTGTTATATGAGTTATAGTGTGTTGTGAAATAACTCAAGAAACAATACTGGAATATAGTAAAAATTTAGAAGACTCAAGCAAATAAAAAAAATTTAAAAGATTTGCATACTTGTCTACATTCATGAAGTAATAATTTTTTTACTATTGAAAAATACAATAAAAATCTCCTTATGATTTTCTAACTTAATCTGAAGATCTCAAATATACACCATCTCACAATAAAAAATCTCTTCTAGTATCCCCGCCGGCCATGATATTTTTGCCTTCTTTATTGATTCTTTTGATAAAACGAAATAATTATTTTTTAGCAAAAAAATTATAAGCTTATAAATTTTTAACAATAAGATGTAAAAATGTTAAATATAGAAACTTTTGATAACGTATCTTATTTTAAAATAAGAGTCAAAATTAAATTCGATTGACTAAAATATTCAAACATAATCGATTAAGGTGAGATGAAATTTTATTTAAGTCTTCTAAGGAGATAAAGGCTCACAAACTAAACACATAAGTGCATATGTCACAGTTCACATTTTGAATTTAAAAAATATACTTGATTAAATAAAAGAATACTCTTACTTATAAAACCTAACACACAACTTTTTCTCATGCAAGGGTTCTATTTGATTGGATTCAGACGTCAAAGAAAGAGACCGCAGCGTGGCTAGCCATGTTGCCCTGAAAGGATTAGTCAAGCTTGCGGGGTTGGTAACCTGACCCCAAGACCTTTAATTACACGTCACTCTATACATTGACAAGAAAATTTGGTATTGCCGAATCCCGTCTAATGGTTTTGTTGGGACTTTGGAGTTGCAAATGCAATTGTCTGCTTGGTTGAATTCAGGAGTTTGAACTTTACATTTCGGCACACCCTATATTTCCTCTTTTGCTCATCTCTTTAGCCTGTCACTGTGTTGCCCTTATATTGCCGGTACCGCCACTGTTCGTCACTTTTGAGACTGTGATAAATATGCAAATGAGCTCAATTTATATGACATGACATATGATGTAGCCATTTATCTCTGACTCTACTTTACACTCATATATCTAAACTGGTTGATGAGACTCGTGGTATCAAGAACTGTGTCATGCAATATATATTTTAAATCAAATAAATAAAAATTTTACATGGGCAGCGGAAGAAAAAATAAATTAAAAAATACAAAGGAAAAAATATATATATTATGATAAAATTACTGGTTACATGGGCTTTGAGGATATTAAAATTTAAAAATAAAAATAAAAAATTTTGTCTATCACATCTGTATCAATATGCAAAGTATTATCCATTTTAATTTATTAATGTTACAATTTTATCTCACAAAACACGTATTGCAAGTTGAAAATAGTGAAAAACTTTAAATATCTAATCTCATTATAATAAGACATGATCGATATGGGATTCATGGCCCTCCTCTTAAACTATGATATCCTTTCTTGATGTGAGATTTGATGTCATGATCCCAACAATGAATCATTAATCCCACATCAGGGCAGATGCCATGATGTTATGGCCCCTAAAGAAAGTTATAAATCTCATATCGATTATGTACTAAAGTAAAATTGGACATTCAAAAGTTTATATTATTTTCAACTTATGAGGTCACTTTTGTGAAACAAAATCTTGTAAGTTGGATTAGATTCCTATAGTTGGAATCAAAATTGGTTTTGGGTACTAGTAATGTCCTATTAAAGACAATGGGTTATTGTTGAAGTAATGGAAGATGTCATGGTACCGACAAAAACCATGAAAGTCAAATCATCTATATATATATATATATATTTATTATATATATATATATATTTATATATATATATGAGATTGGACATTTAAGAGATCATATTAACTTGTGAAGTTTCTTTTTTGTAAAATAAAACAGTCAGACCAACGAAATATGAGTTAAAATAGACCATATCTTACAGGTTGGTGTAGACCGTAACGTTTGATTTTTTAATAAAATTATAGATTATGTTTAAATATATATATGTATATATTACCTTACATTTTGAGGGGGGATTTGGATCAAAATAATGTTCAAATAGGGGCATTGTCATAAAAAAAAAATGGATTTCTCCCCATCTAAAAGATAACCTAAGAGGAGGGTGGTGGGTATGTGATTAGTTTTTAAAAGCCTAGATTTATGAGAAATCCAAAATTTCATATTTTCAAATTCAAAATCTCAACCAATCCAAGATGGCAACGAGTACCGTAAGGCATATAATCCTCTTATTTTCAGATTGTAATCTGATGCATCGTGAATCAAACCATGCACCCTAAGAAATCATGGAACTCTCAACCATTTTGAAGGGCGCATCATTTCCATTTCCTAAATGATTTAATCAATTGCCGCCTCATCTTGTTAAAGGGCTGTCACGTTGAAATAGAGCACCTTGATGCATATTTTTCCTTTTTCAATTCCTTTCTACTTCATGACTAAATTTCCATATGATGGGAAATGCGTGTTGAAAGCTTTTTAAATAAAAGTTGTGTACTTTCAAGAGAAAGATGGCAATTTTAGATAGCTTAAGTAATGCACAATTATGCACAGAAAAGAAAACAAAAAGGTTTAAAGTCATGCTATGCAGGTTTAACGATGTTCCATTTGAAACATGTCTATGGTAATGGACTAACTATATGAACACATTGTAGCCATGAGCATCCAAAGCAAATTGCCGGCCATTAGACCTAACCCTACCATGCATCATCAATATTCTTGTTACGATTGCGAGGCGATTACTCTCACAAAATGACAATTTCATCTCTACCACCTCATCAGCTAGATTCACGAGGCCATAAACTTCCAAATCGAACCTGCCAATACATGAGAAAACGACTACAAAAAGGGTCACCCCCTTTGTTAGAGACAAAGCTAACTTTTACTATTATCGTGCGGCTTTTGATTGATGAACGAATTTATTACTATAAAATTAAACGATATAAACAAGAAAGAAACTGGTTCAAGTAGTTCAGCTATGACCAAATGATTCATCATATTGGAGTCATGTTTGCATCCCATAATAATATATATATTACCATCAGAGGAAACATCTTCGTCAAACAAACCAAACCCTAATTTTTGTACCCCATTTTATTTGAGAGGTTGAGTAACAAATTGGATGATATTTAGATCGATTTGGAAGGGACGTTTGAGATTAGGAGGTACGTGGTCCTGGGTTATGGTTAAGGAAGGCAAGAAGAAAAGGACGTTAAGATTTTTAATTAAGTCAAAGAAATAATGTGTGTGTGTATTAGCCGCTTAACCACTCTGCCCTTGCTAATAAGGCGAAAATAAATATAGTGTACCTTGGCAGTTTCAATGACGATAAACTAGCCAATTAGGGTTTAGGTTTGTCCTGGCACCTACAAGTTAGGAGGCAGTGGACCAACCTACTCTGAGTAATGACATTATATATATATATATATATATGTATATATGGACACACACACACACATGAAGATAAGAGAAATGGAGTGTGAGAAAAGGGTAGGGGCAACCACAGCTGAGGCAATTATGAATGCATAACGTCGGAATTCCGAAATATTTCATACACTTCCAACATATAATTCTGTGTAATTTGTTTAACAGGATATCAAAAATGAATTTTATTACTTAGTTTTATGATTTATCTCAAGTACTTTAGTGTCTAATGGAATAAATTGTTATAATCTAATGAACTTAAATGATCCATAATTTTATTTGTTTTTTGATGTAGGAGAGAGGAGGTTTGAACTCTGCTCTTTAAGTAAAAATATCATGTATCAATTAATGAGCTAAATACTTAATTGTTGAAATATCCATGGATACTTGCCAACGTATTCATAAGTTCGTATGGAACGGGATAATAGTTCTGTATATGAAGATAAAGCTAGATTAATTAATGTTTGCTATTAATGGAAGGGGCAATGGAGATGATGTACTGAGCTTCTAACTACTTGGAACTAATAATGCAAAGAAGCAAAATAGTGTGAGTAGTTCAGCTATATGATCTAACAACTCTATTACATAAAATAGAATGTCTTTGTTTATTAGCCATATACAAACATCAAGGAAAGCATCCTCTTCAACAAACCCATTATCTATTTGAGGCATGAAGGACACTTGGGCCTTTCAATATTTATGCATTGTGGGAGAGTTACGTGCATACGAGAATAGAAGGTTGTTTTGGTTGATGTTATGGTTGAGATGAAAGGGTTTAAGAGAAAGTTGGTGATTAAGGTCCTTTAAGTCAACATAGGTGATGTGTTATTAATTATTTGCCTAACCACTTTTAACTTATTACAATACCAAATATTTTCACTTACTTTCGTGGGATATATAGCAATTGCTGATGTTAAACCAATTAATGTTTAAGTGGAAATTAGGAAGGTAAGGGACCAACTAACATAACAATTATATTTTTAATTTTTAATTTTCATTGCCACATAAGCATTGGACAGTGACGTCAAATACCACATTGTGGTCTGTTATCTTTTAACGATTGAATGACCAAATAATAACACTTACAAATTTTGGTGATCAAAACGTTATAGTTTAATAAAAAATTTTGATACATTAGTAACAAAAACATAATTTGCTCTATTAGATATTAACAATTTACCCTCAAAAAGTCATTCCCTAATTTTGATTGATTGATAAATTTTAATATTTGAAGTTTTAATTCGTCTATGTGGACCTACTATATGGAATGATAATTTATAATTTATTTGTTTCAGATTATTTTGGTTTATGTATTATTCTACTATGCCTACAGATTATACTACTAAATTAATTTTGTTGGTAAAAATGTGTTTTTTTGTAGTGTCTATAACTTTATGTATAATTAATATTTTAACAAAGTGACCCTTGGACTTAACAGCCTATTTGTACTTGTTATACATGTAAAATTTTAAATCAAATCAATATTCACATTATATTGATCAAAAATCTTTTTTCTTTTTAAGTATAGATACAACGATTGAAATTTTATTGTTATTAAAAATATTGTTACATATTTTTTAATTAACTTGAAATTTGGATTTTGAACCAAATAAATTTTTATAATTAATAGTTGATTTAGTCAAAATTATACTTGTCATTCTATACCATATGATATGTTGACATATCATAATAGATGCTAACGTAATATGATGATATAATCATGTCATTTTTCAACATCACATCAACATTTTTTAACTAATATTTAAATTGTGCAGGATGATTTTCCTTAGTATAATATGTGCATGCATTTACTACCTAGAAAATGGGATTAATTCCAATCTCCCTAGCTCCAAATTAAAAAAAAAAAGAAAAAGAATAAAAATCATCTATAATTATACTCAAGTTCAAGTTACCTAGTATTGATGAAGCAATATATATAAAATTGTTGACACCATTAATAAAAACAATTGCTCATAAACATTTACTAAAACAAAATGCAAAAGAATTTTGAAGCGAGGTCGAAGATTAGTTAATTGAGATTTTTTCTGGTAAACTTTTAACCTTGTAAAAGTTAGAGAAGCAAGTAAAATATGTTAACCATTCAATTCATTATTACTTGAGGGAACAAATTAAATTTTACATGTAGTTGAGTGAAAAACACAAGAAAAATTATGCGAATATTTAATGTTTAAAATTAAGCATAATATCTAAAAGAATTTCCTATATTGTTTAAGAAAATTTAAATAAATTTTTATTCTTTCATTGTATTTAATTAAATTCATGTAATTTTATTTTAAGTCAAATAAGTTTTTTTATTTTTATTTTGAGTCGAATTAGTTCTTATAATTAATGGTTAACTTATTCAAAATGTCATTTGTTGATGATATGATCATATGATAATACACCATGTAAGTATAAAATAACAAAAGACATTTTCACTAATTGAGTAGACAATTACTAATAAAATGTTATTTGATTTAAAATAAAAATATAAAAATTTAATTGAACTTAATAAAAGAATAAAATTTATTTAAATTTTCATAAATAAGTAAGAAAAATTTTCAAATATTATGTCTTGAAATTTTTTTTTTAAAAGATATGTCTTAAAATTATTAGTAGGTATTTATTCATCATCATCATTGTCGTAGTCATCATCATATTTTTTAGATTTAAAATGAAGAGAATTCGAATTTTACTTTTTAAATAAAAAAATTATACATTAATCAATTAGCAAAATGTTTAAGTATAGTCATCGTTATAATCATCATCATCATATTATTATTTTTTAAAAAAAATTTAAATTTAATGAAAAATAATATATAAAATATAAACCCTTTTGGGGGGCTAGATTATGTTCTGTCTGTTATAAGCCCAAGTTTTATAGCCTTTCAAAAGATTGTTAGGATCTTAGGGTGCCCTTGCCCCTTGTTTGAGCAAGTCCGATAAGATGAAATTTCCCCTTAGAAAATTAGGCTCTTAAATTCTTGGACGCGTTGCAAGTTTTAGAGCTATAGCAGCATGCGGTGGCTGACAGGGAATGAATTGACTGGGATATTTCCATCCCATCAATGTGCATGAAACATGTCTGATATCTCCGTCTTCCTCACAAATTTTGTGGCAACTAGGCCTTGACAGGGTCAAAGTCATCAGCCAATCGCCTGTAAAATTACTGTTGATAGTGATTTGTCTTTGATTTTTGTCTTTTTGGAGCAGGTAAGTCTTGGAGGTATCTGTTCAAAGGACCCAGTGTCCACCTTTGCCCTACTCAATTCACACACGTTTTTATTCTTATATATCGTGACAAACGGGCTTGTGGAATTTGGACGCTCTAAGAATTTTGCAGTTTAATCGGCCAATACGGATTATGTTCTTGACATTTGGGGTCAAGAAACTTCAACATTGACTTTCGCTAAGAATTTTTGACCGTTTTTATGTTTTGAATCAAGATACCAAGCCCCAATCTACGGACAAACTTTTTGTCATGCGTTCGGCCACGGCTGCAATGGGAGTTGCATAAAGAGGTTGGACTACTACACCAGTACCATAGATACATTAATGGACAAGGACCCGAGCTAAATACAAATTAGGCCCAAGAGTCGTTCAACCACTTGCACCACAAACCTATCTAAGCCTCCATCATCTGTTGTTCCTGGTTTGCTTTCTCTGAAATTTCCCAATTAATACTTGTTGAGTCTTGAGGTCATGTTAGAATTGGAACATTCAGAATGCTCACATAATGGTTGTATGTTATAAGTGATGGAAGTGAAGAAAGTGGTGGGCATTTCGTATCTTGTACTCTGTCACATGTAACATAAGGCATTTAATTTATTTTCCAACCATGTCAAACAATACAAACATCCAAATCTCTTTATTTACCCTGGATTGTCAGCAAATGATATGTCCCAACAAGTATTTACCATCATGGACAGCTCTTTATTTACTTCTAGTAGCCACGAAGACAGTGTACACCACCCAAATAAGGATGTCATTTTTATTATTTCGGTACTGGAATTATGATATCACTGGATTCAAGGGAAAAGGACAAAACTGCAATGAACCTTGTCTTCTCTCAAGGATGCTAAGATTCACATGGACGTGAATACAACCTAATTTTTGTAGCTAGCTTAGTATTGTGTATGGTTCAAATTAACAAGAAAGGCTGGGTATGGATGTTAAAGCTAATATAGACATCATTGGAGTGAAATTTTGTCAGGCAGGAACAAGTAACGGAAGCGTGAATCGAAGGGAAGAATGCCACAGTTACGGGAACCAAGAAGGCTTTGCCTCCTTTGTGATATGCATTGCTCGACAAAGGCAGCCTGGTGGGATGGAAGGTAATGAGATATCCATACAGCCAAATTAGAATCGTCCACGAAGCCCTTTGCAAAGCAGTGCAGTAATTTTGGAACCAATAGCTTCCCCTTGCTGCTAACCCCAACCGAAGCTCTTATAAAATCATGCTGAGCTTCTTCAAGCTCCTCCCTAATATTCTTTGCAGTGTAGATCCTCACCTGGCATTTGCAACTCACCTTCATGACATCTAAAACTCATGAAGAACCAAAATTATGTGCGTATGTGTGTGTGTGATTAAAAAGAGGAAACAAAAATTGAGATTACCGCAGGTGATGAGTACATCCCACTACTGAGAGCAAAAGATACAAGTGGTTCATACGTATCAATTGCGGACTTGCGTTGCTTATCTGACACCTTCAGTTTGTGAAGGGCAAGAAGCAAAGCCTGACAAAAGTTTTTACATTTATTACCAGCATTAGTTAGTGAAGTAGGAAAAGCAAATAAAGAAAACAAGCACAATATCATCACAGAAAATCCATACAATTTGCGGTCTATGCAAAGGTGGTTTCATCCTCAGAATGACATATTCGATTGCAGCTGCACTGAAAGAGTGGCCTCCAACTGTATATGCTGCCTGGAAGAGTAATACCTTTCATCAGAGGAACACTCCAAAAAATATCAGTTAATTAAATCGACAATCAGCTTGCAATTCTCCATTTGAAGTCATGCTCCGATGTTATTACATGTACAAACTAAGAAGAGACTCTAGCAAGGACAACGGAAGCTTATTCAACCATACAGACAGAAGAGAAATTGGAAACAAATATATAACAAGAAGAATCTCAGAAACTCTAGAGATGAGATCTCTGATGGAGATACTACCTTTTTTTTTTTTGAAATGCAATGAAGATACAACTTAATTGTTTATTGCGTTTGAACCATGAAGTTTCTCCAAAGTACTAGCTTTGAACATCAGGATGCAAACATATATAAAGAGTTTTATCTAAATTATTGTTTTAAAATTTCTTCCCTTTCATTATTATTGCTTCTTTTACAACGAAAACTCTTTAACCCGGATTGTGTTAGCTGGACTCAGAATACTTAACGCATAAAAATTGGTACTAGTAATAACTTCGGCTTTGGTGGAATAATGAAATTTTGCATTAAATAAGCAAATACACTAATCAAAAATTACTTTTCCACCTATGGGAAATTCAGAATAGTTGTATAAAGGACACTAGAAGGTAGATACCCTAATGCAATAAGATATTCCATATGATAATGTTATAACAGGCAGGCATCTAATATTGAACACAAAAGGCCACACACAGCCTGTTGTAAAAGATTAATCATTCAAAAGCCCGGGACCAAGCAGCTTGGGTTACTTTTTTGCTTCCTCAGCAGTCTTCATACTCTACAACACAATTAACTGTATCTACAAGTGTATCTTGACCACTGAATCAAAATTAATTGACTAAAAGCTACTAGAGCACTCTCCAAAATAGTAAGGGGATTAGTCACAAGATTGTGAAGAAAACAAATAATAGCAGCACAGTTTGCAATTCTGTGCCTGTCAATGCATGGAACATTTTAATATGTCAAGACAAGGCACGGACAGCATCATCAAGCTGACTATGGCACTAAGATGCACATGATGGCAACCAAACTAAGTGTCCTGGAGATTCCCTGGATGATATATCATACACAACAGAGAGTAACCTCCTTCCCCCTTTCTAAAGAGGAAAATGGCGAGTCTGAGTACCAAACTAGTCACAGATGCTACAAGATAATAAGATAAACAAATAAAAGTAGGAAATTAAATTTAATACACATTCAGAGGACTCAATCAGCAATTCATACCTTTTGCATCAAGGAGAAGAGCTTCAAGTCGCTTCTTGGAACTCCATACGCTAAGTAAGCCTGTCCATAATGTAGACAACACGGAACAATATTGTCAAGCTCAACTTGTCATTTACAAGGAAACTCCACTATTCAAGGGATGTCATCACAAAAATCATACTCGCTAAAGAAACAAAGAAACCCACATGCATAATTAGAGCATTATACAAGTTGATCCAGAAGGCAAGCTGCTCATTGCTACTCAAGTGTATTGGATTCACTTTGGCTAGCTGCTCCACGAGTATTCTGCTTTCCAAACAATTAAAAGCAAAACAATACTGAATCAGCTATAGTCGTAAACAACTATTACTCTGAAAAGAAAAAATGTATTTTAGAGGTTTTTAATTTACAAGTTTTTTAACAAACATCTTTTTTATTTTTGAAAAAGAAAAATGAAAAAAAAGTAAGATCCATATAGAAAAAGAACATATTAGACATTCTAGTCATAATCACTACATACTAAACCTATTAGGCTAAATCCCCATTCTACCCCTTATAAAAGTAATTCTCTAGAATTTCAAAATGCTCATTTGATAATCATTTCTGGAGAGAGAACTTTTAAACAAAAAGGTTTGAAAATCATAATACCTGAACCTCCTTAAGGCCCCTGATGCATATTCTAATTGCTTCTTCCCAACTGACATCCAAGATACTTCAGTCGCTAAACTATAGTTTCCAATTTCAGCCCAGCTTAATTTTCCACGTACTCTATAGGGATCAACGGAATTCTCTGAAGCCAAAACTTCAGAGTTGCTTTGAATATCAATTTGAGGGCTCTGCACCCATGATGGAATCATCGAGCGTTCAGATGATGACCACCATGATGAATTTGAAAGATGACCCCATGGTGATAGAGTTGAGCTGTGGCTCTCAAGTGCAGATGATTTGGAAGGTATAGCTGAATCTGCAAGAAATATGAATATATTTCTCATGCATCTTACCATCTCTTCTGATAATTGGTTAGGGTGATCCCAGAGGCCTTGAGGTGGTATGCCTCTTGCAATCTTCTCAAACTGTAAAGGTTGACAAGATTTGCCATCCGTCTTTGCAGATATTTTCTTTCCATCAAGATGAAAAAGTGAGTCCACTGCATTCTGCTGTAAATTATAATTATTAAAGGCCTAATAAAAAACCCTCTGCAGTTTTTGGTACTAATCATCAGTAAATATAATAATTTTCATATCTAAGTACGGATGACTATGAAACAAGATGTGAAAATAAGATCCATTGACAGAACTTTAAATTGTTCCCAAGCTTGTCCTGTTGAACATTTAATCTCATCTCTTTGTAATGTATAAGACCTCATCTTCACCCTACTGGGTCTCAAAATGGTTTAGTTGTCCAAATGAAGTGTGGTATTCATTCTTCCAACCTGGTCTGTATCTAGTCATGTTACCAGTTAATAGCTTCCATGTATTGCAAGCTTCTTTTGCACCAGTATTTCATGTTGCAATGATATTCAATATTCTGTACCTCATTCATATGAATGGCCACTTCCAACTTTAGGTAAGCTGACTTCTCAAACATAAAAAGTTTCTTCTAAAGGGTAACAAATCTGTGACCTCTAGAACTAGCGTTGCTGGAGAAATCCTCCCAACAACTTCTTTTGCAAACAAAAGAATATTTTTATTCACATCAACTTGAATACTATCTGCTTCCATTTCAGTCTGTCTACTGTCAGCATCACACTTCTGGATCAATGGACTTGTGATCCAGATAATAAAGCAACAAAAGTCAAAATAGGGTTCCAAGAAAATCTAGGTTTTATTTGATGTTAAACGTATTAGGGCGTTATTAAGTTGTGATAGGTATTATTTTTGTTTCTATAGGACACAATGTGTTTTCTACTTCTTTTATTTTATGTTTTCTTGAGTTTGTGTCAGAGTATTCTGGTTATTTCCAGATAAGCTAAAGATTTCTAGCCTTGGTTTTCCTACGACTTTCCTTGTGTTATTAGGTTCTATTTATAGTTCAGGAGTTGCTTTAAGCACTTATAATAGTTTTCCATTTGAATCTCAAATCCTTACATGAATAGGATAACTAGAACTGCATAAATAAACAGCCATGTAAGCCTTTTCAATTAATAGAGAACAAGTTTATGAGAATTCCAGTAGCTAGGATGCTTGATTTAGGATTATTCAAAATACCCTTAGGCTTTTTGAGCCAGTAGGTGTGGAAGCCCAAATCTTTATAACTACAACCACATCAATATATAGAGAAAAGCATGAAAAGAAACAAGGACCATATGGGTCATAAGTATTACTACTTAGAAAAATTACAAAGCAAAATTTTGAATGAATAAAATGATAGGTGACATGTAATTTTCCTAATTCTGTTCACAACTTCAATCCAGAACTCAGAATTTGGTTATAGAATGTAGGTAGGCCAAATTGTTATTGAAGCTTTCATTTACGAGAATGTCAACTGATCTGCTTTAAAGATGGAAGCAATTTTGAAGTATGACACACCATAGCTGTCAAAATAGTTATGACGTTGAAAGCTGTAAAGGCATGAGGAAGCTAAAATATACCTCTCTTACTGACTCCGTAGAAGATGATTCACCAGTAGACTCTGTTGGTTGGTCTGTAGGCTCTTGGCATGAGTTATCTTCTGAGGAATGATGCAGTTCAGAATTTGAGTGCTTCAAACACCTTGATGAAGGTGAAATCTGGATAACAAAAGAAATTTTTATATTTACGGCCAAAGCATGAATACATGCAATACTTTTTCGATGTCACTTTCATATTATGCACCATTATATTTATATTTATAGTTAAAATAATATCTACCATTATGAAATTGGGAGCTACTTCTCAGGTAAGGAAATAATTAATAAGAACACAAGCAAAGTACACTTACATGAGTTAATGCACATTCAGCTTGTGAGTGGGGTTGTAGGAGGAAAAAATATGTTGATTACTATGAGCACAAATTAAGGTTTACAAACTATATGAAAAGTCTCAGATTTTATAAGAAAAAAAAGGAAAGAAAAGATACAATTCTTGTAAACAAAGTTTAATAATATAGTAATTTCATCAAATGAAATACTGGAATGATTTTAACAGATTAAAAACAACTTTAACCTTAAATCGTTGGCTTGAACATATTATGGAACAAGCATAATTTAGAAAAAAAAAAAGTTGAATTAATAGAAAGAAATTTTAGTTATAAATTATGTTTTGATTAAAAGTATTAGCTACCAGCAGTTTGATATTTGCAGAGAAATACATACTGATGGAGAAAATGAATGCCTCAAACGGTATTCAGCAAGCCTCCTTTCATTTCTTTCTTGACTAAGCTGGAAATGCAAAGAGACCATCTCTTGTTCAAGTTTTGAGATGGTAACCTCCAATACTGCAATATGAGATAGAAGCTCCTGAGCCTGTAAGAAAATGATTAACAATCTTTTAAATGTTGAGAAACCACTTCACAATTTAAAAGGAATGCCTAAACTGAATGAGTAAGGTCATGAATAATTCAGTGGATTTAATTAGCAGAAACCAGAAAGAAGCAGAGAGAAGCATATAATTTAAGCTCCCTCATTTGATCCCAGATGGCTACTTGTAAGGAACCAATGAAATGGAGATGCTTATAGCAGATCCAAATTTCCTAAATGTTGGTAAGCCTGAAACTTTTATATTATGAGGAATCACCTTCCCTGTTTTCACACCCTCAGTAGGGCAGCATTATGCTAACAATGCATGTAACAGGACAATGGCTTAGATGACACTTTTAGCACCAATTAAATCATCCAGACAACTGCTAAGTGCTATATAATTGAATAATGATATGAACAATCAGCTTTTGTGGAATACAACAGTCCAAATTGCAGTCAGAAAGTTGTGGCATAAAATGAATAGGGGTAACATTGATTAATAAGAATAAGAGGTCAAACTATCTATATCTTTATTAAAAAGTAGAGTACAAAAAGTTGTTATTGGTATTACAAAACAACACCTATGCCACTTGCCCAACCGCATATAACATACTGCTTTGAACTTGCAAAAGAATTTGGTACCCAAACTGTCACCAGAAAATAGGAAAATGACAGATTTGTACAGTCTATAAAGGCAAAATTGCAGCATACATCTGAAGGCGCCAACATCCTGACAAGATCACAAAGTGAAATTACCAACTGCAAGTAAAGATTAAAAATAACTGACATACATGGTGCGGGAGGCATGAAGGAATTGACAATTCTGTAGCATTTTTCTCTATAGCATTTTTCAGAATAGAATGCAGTTCTATCTCTTCTTGCAGCTTTTGCTGTAGTTTATGTACCTGTCAATATTTTCAGAAGAATAGAGTTACAACAACAGATTATAGATTTAACCAACAGCCTAAGCATGCATTGTGTTCAGTTTTGAACCAGGGTAGGAACTAAAACAGGTAGATTATTCCCAGAAGACAGCAAATTAAAACCAAGAGCAGCTGAAACTATCAGACTTGTAGAAGAATGCCATCAGAGACCAGAAATAAACCTCAGGAGCTCAGCCAGTAATTTTCCATTCCCAGTATCAAGTTAACATAGATAAATTCATTGCCTATTAAAAATAACAAATTTCATCTCAGACATTATCATGAATGCTGCTGTACAACCATTTCAAGCCACCTAGCATCTGTTACAAACCTATCATCTTAAGTACCTAGCATAATGCAGTAGATAAAACATTATCACATTTGAGAGATGCTTACATCCTGCTCGAGCTGAAACCTATAAGGACAAGAATCACTGCTTTTAAAACATGATTCAACACTTCCAGTCTCTTTGCTATAATTCCTTCCCTGAATAAATCACCAAATTCACGGTAAGAATCAAATCTAAGCCAAATGACTTATCCTAAAATAAGAACAATTTATTACCATAATATGCAACAAAAAGGTGGCAAATGATCAAATTCAAAATTAATAGAAATTTTAAAATAAAAATAGTACTCTACAAGTAATCCTGTTCTAGCCCTTGGAAAAGAGTAAAGGAAAATTCTTAGGAGTCTTAATTGAAGTCGACCAATAAACAACATGAAAGGAAATGCATGTTTTTCTCCTCTGCAATGGGTATCATTACTCAAAACTCTGAGTAAGATTGTAGATATTTGATATTTCATCAGAACTGCAAACTCTGATTATCAGTACTATATTGCAGCACTAAAATAGTAGAAAATTAAGTGAAGATTGACTTCAACAACTGTCAGATGGCAGAGAAGGGGAAAAGAAGAAAAGCACATTGTTATGACCCACAAAGACTTCGTTCCATGGATGCTTCACTCAGTGTTTATCAACAATCACTAAAGCGGCAAGCACACCAGCACTGACCTCAAAGGATGAGTTACTGCTTTGAAGTTCTCCGACAATGTCTAACTGAGATCCTGCCTTAGAATGTGAAGAGTTGGAGATAGAATCATTTCTGCAAAAACAGCCATTCAAAGATAAAGAAATAAAGAAAGAGAAATACAGAAAACCATGAGAGAAACTAAAAGCTCCATATGTAAGCCATTAAGGGAAGAAGCAAGTAAGCAACAAAGAAAATAAGCGATGCAATCCTTACTGGCATACGGCAGATTGCACAACCGACGAGTCACACATCCTGTGATCATGGGCTTTGGCTTTTATCAAATAAAGCAGACCCTGGAATTTCCGCAGTAGCTTGGCTTCTATATCCCTCCCATATACAAACAAGCATCATAAATCCTGCAGATTCAATTCAAAAATCAAAAGCCTGTTTTTCTTTTTACTATATTAAATTCGGGAAACTTAAGCTAGATTTTGTCGTCAATAATCTTTTGGAAGAATGAGTTTTTCTAGACAAAGTACTGTGTGACCTGTGAATATGCGATAAGGACAAACAAACTCAACGAATGCACAGCTACCAGTCATTTTCAACAGAACCATACAGATCAAAAAAACGAAACCTGGTAGCCTTGAGTTAAGTCACACACGAACAACGGATATCCAAATCAAGATCACTTCAGAAAAGAATAAAAAGGGTAATTTGTAGAAGACAATGTATAATTGAATCTAGCTTTCAATAATGAATTGCATTTCCATTTCATGAAATTCAGAGATAAAGCAAAAGCTGAGCATATAATTGCGCCAAAAGGAAAACCAAAGGAAAAAATATAAAGGAAAGGCAACTGGCTAAATGCAAAGAACATGCAATTATAAAAAGAAAAGAAGAACGTGGGGTTGTCTTACTGCTGGTTATGGAAGACAAAAGTAGCTTCCATTGTGACTAAAAACAAAAGGGGAAAACTTGAAAAGTTAATCAAAGTTGATTTAAAAGCAGAGAAGTTGGTTTGCTTTCATATCCATTAAAAATGAAAATGAGGGTTGATGGATGAATGGATAGACTAAAAGAGCGACCAAAGTTGAGATTTCAAAAGTTGTGGGGCAAACAGTAAGTCAAAAGAGAAAAGCAATGCCAGGTTTTTCAGTTTTTCACTTGGTAAAAAAGCTTCCAATCTAAACGACAATGCTGAAACAAATTGGTTCAAAGAAAATTATAAAAAGTAATAGAAGAACAATCCAAAGGACAGATCCTAGTGGTCCCTTTTTTCGTTCCAAACACTAGTTTTTTCCATTTTTCCTTTTTTTGTTCAGTCTGATCACAACTCACATGCTGACCCCATCAGCCATAATGAGTTCCTTTTCCCTTCATGCATCTTTCTAAACCACACAAAAACGAAGACAATAAAACAACACCAACCCATTTTCAACCTTTCAAATACAGAAAAGAAACAATTTTTTTCATTCCAAAAAAAAAAGTAAAACATCTTTGATCCTAAAGACTAAAACCCCAAAAGCCCATTTCTAGTGAAAATGAAAAAAAAAAAAAAAGAAGAGACTTTTGACGAAGAAACACCTCAAAGATCCGAGCTTTCTTCAGACTTGGAAAAATAAAATAGCACCCAAATAGCCTAAATCCAACTTGAAACTGGTTGTCAGCTCTTCTGGTTCTTCTTCAGCTTTGTTTGTCAGAAAAAAAAGAATGCACTCGTTTGTCAACTGGGTTCTTCTTATTCTCTCAAATTTTCTCTTGAAATTCAAATGTAGAGGCTGAAAGAGTCAATTACACAGAGAAAAGTGGGGTTGAAAAATGACAAAGATACAGTTGAGCTAACAAAGACGAGGTAAGAGAGATTTCAAACACAGATAAAACAAAAGAGAGTAGAGAGAATCTAGAACAACTTCCAAAACATGTAACTTTAAAAAATATATATTTGTCTACTAACTCAAAATCATGTAAGAATTTTAAAATGGATATGGATTGTGTCTGTTTCCGGACAGAAGCTAGTGAACTAGATGGGTGATGCTTTTGCTGTGGCCATGAGTTACAGACAGGACACGGCATAAGACTCCATATTTTCAGAAATTTTTGTTTCAAATTTTGAAATGTCGAGGAGCAGCAAGAGATTATGCGGTTTTTATGATTATCATGATGATGATGATGGCCGCTTTCTCATTTTGTGTGACATTTATTAAGCATTTAATATGTAATTGCGTGCCTCTGCACTCTGTTGTATTTTGGAATTATCAATAAAAAATTTAACACTTCTTTTTTATTATAAAGTTTTAAGTGATAATTCACGTATTCATTTAATTTCATTTTATCCATAATCTCGTAAATTTAAATCGTATATCAAGTTAATTCTTATAATCTAATAAATAAATAAATATGTTCCTTTTCTTAATATTTGAGTTTTCTTTACAGTTTAATAGTTTTTTAAGTTATATTTTTAATCTTTTATACTGGATTTTATAGTTTTTAAATGTTAATAGGGTTATATTTTATACACGTATATTATAATAATAACAATATGAATTTTATAAATATTGTAATATTATATTATAAACTCATTTTAAGAAAAAAATGCTATTGTAGATAATTATTAACTAATAACTAGAATTAATAAATTTTTTATTTTTAACTTCCACTAATTTTACTAAAAATATTTTTGTGGGATGATTTTTGGGTTTTTTTTATAAAATACTATTTTTCACTGCTTCATTTTGTCATTGTTAATATATTATTATTTATTATAATATTTTTATAAAATATATTTAAATTATAGTATCATTTTTTGTAAAATATATATCTTATTGCTGTTGTTATTATTATTACTATTATGTGTATATAAAAAATTTCAATCAAATAAAGAAATCTCAAATAACATTTAAAGTCTATTAAACTCAATATAAAAAAATCAAAGTAAGGTTTAAAAACTAAAAAATTACCTAATATTAAGAAATCAAATGTTAAGAAATAATCATTACTTTTTTAAAACTATAGGAACTAATTTAATATGCAACCAAAACTTTAAGAATTAGGAGTGCATTAAAATTATAAAAAAATTATACAAAAATTAAACTACGTATTGTTGTACACATAGCTGAAACGTAGTAGCCATGTGTCTAATGGCGAAATCAAGATTTCATGCTTAAGGAACGAAAACAATATTTATAAAATAGTTATAATAAAAATTCAATATTTGTAAAGATAAAATTTTAAAAATTTTAAAAAACAATAAAAACATTATAAAATTTTAAAACTTTAAGGGGCAGAGCCCTTACTAGCCTCCCTCCCGCTGCCTCTGCATGTGTTGTTAATTGTCAGTTAACGATTATGTTGAGGAAAATACTTATAAAAAGGTTTTTTTATTCTAATACTAGAAATATAGATATTAATAAATGATTTTTTTTTTAAGAATGAGAATAAAAATGATATGACCCAAACTTTGAAAGGCACAAATGCAATTTACTCTTTCTGTTAGCATATTAATTTTTGTTTAAGACTTTCAGTTTCAAGACTTTAATTCATAATTTTGAAAAATGGGTTTGAGTTTATTTGATGATATTGTTATGCAAAATTAGTTTACAAGTCTAGCGGTTCAAAAAGTGGCTTGGATTTAGATTTTTTGTTCTAAATGTTATAAGGAAAGAAATGGCATAATATTTAAGAAAGTTCTTAAACTATTTAAAAAATTTTAAATAAATCCTTAAAGTTTTATTACATTTAATTAAATCTTTATATTTTTACTTAAGCTAAATAAGCCCTTATACTTTTATTTTAAATCAAATAAACTATTATAGCTATAACTTAGTTTGATTTGATATTATTTTGATATTGTTTGGATAAGATTAATTTGCAATAATTTTAGTACTTAGTAAACTTTTAGATCAATTCCCTGTGGGATCGATACTCTACTTACTAATATATTGTTTATTCGATACGTATACTTGCGTAGTAGAATTTTAACTGACAGTAGGCATTCAATTATAGTCTGTTTTAATGAAAAATATAAAAAAAATCAACTTAAAATCAATTATTAGATTATAAAACCATTTAAAGTTAGTAATGATTGATTTAGTCAAAATACCATTTATCATATTATGTTTTTTTTGAAAGATGAGTTTTTATTAATGATAAGCTGGAATGCCGTGGGGAGTCTTTCAACTTGAGATTTGGAGACCCTGTGGTAGGGAAGCTATCATAGGAAGAGCCTGTTCTGAACAATTACAAAAGGAGCAGCGGCTCAAGGAGCATTTGGCAGCATCTAAACACGGATAATCTCAAAAACAAGTAGAGTTCTGGATAAATCCCTAAATAAAAGTCTAATACTAGTAAAACTCTATCCGAGTGATAAGATAAATGAGTGTTTTAAAACAAACCACCGCCCACCGTGGAGCTCGAACCCAGAGATAACCTTTTAACCGACACAGCAGTATCATAGATGCACAAGGACACAAACAAGAAACAGAGGCCACACGCAACTTCTTCCTGATCGATTAAGTTCTTTTTCTCTATCTCTTGCTCGACGGCCACCCTTTCATGCTGCACCGTAGGATGCACCAGACCCAGATAAGAATCAGTGCACGTCAGAGCCCCAAACACAATAAATTAGTCATAGACATTCAACAAATCAACCTGACCCAGCACCGCTCCTTGGCAAGGCTATCAGCAAGTTGATTAGTTTCTCTGTAGATGTGTTTAATGTCCATTTCTTAACCTCCTTCTTCAACCTTTCAATGTGCAGGATCCACTTCCTAAGCCTCCAAGGAGCATCAGATGGGTTGTTAGTCCATTTGACAGCATTTTTTGAGTCACTTTCAATAAACAAAGAGTGAGTGGCGGCCCATTTAGAACCAGCAAAGGTCAAGAAGGCCTCCCTAATTGCTCTGACTTCTGCCACAATAGCATCTTCCTATAGCTTTTGAGAAGACAATTTTAGTGTTTCCCTCTTCATCTCTCATAATGCCCCAATCCCTGCTCCTCAGGGCATCCTTTAGTTGCCCCATCCACATTATATTTCATCCCCCTTCGTGCGGCTTGCTCCACTCCTTCACAATTCTGGATCTCTTCCCTTTCTTAACCTTTGCACCCTCAGCTGGAAATCTATAAGTGTCTAAAACTGCGCCATACTCAAGGGGCCACTTAGCTTGAGCCCATGTGGCAACTCTGAGTTTAACTAAATCAAAAATCTGGTCAGCACACCAAGTAACTCCTCTAAAGACCGTATCATTCTCTACAGCCACACTGACACAAAATAGCATAAAAGGCCATGCACCAGATTTTAATCTCCCTTTCCCTGCGAAACCAGCATTCCAAGTATTAAACGAGTTGATTAAATCCTTTGGGACAACCCAAGTAACCTCCCATTCTCTACACCATCTCATCCACACTTGCCAGACCTCAGGACAATGGAGGAACAGGTGTCTAACCGTCTCAGGTTCCCTCTTACAAAGCCCACACTCAGCTCCCTCCTGGTCAATTAAGTTCCTTTTCACTAGCTCCTGCTTGACGGCAACTCTCTCATGCAGCACCTGCTAACAAAATATCTCAATATGGTGAAGCACCAGATTTTTCCAAATATTTCTCCAAGTCTTATCCTCCCCACGATCCTTCAGGAGAACTTGTTTACAAAAAGATTTAACACTGTAATTCCCTGTGGCCGATCCTTTCCATGCCACGGTGTCTTTTAGTTCCCTACAAAGGTGGAACTCCTCAATAGTGGCTTTGAGCTCCAGCCACTGATGTTCTTCCCATCCTAAAGGCCTCCTTCTTAGTTCCACTTCCCATGACCATCTATCATCTTCCCAAATACCGAACTCTCCAACAAAACCTTCTTTATTTTTAGCAAGGGCAAACATCCTCGAGTATAGATTTTTCAGCACACCTTTCTCTACCCACATGTCAGTCCAAAAGCGTATGTTGCATCCATCCCCAATCACCATCTGTAAGTTGGGTTTATCATATTATGTTACATGACGTTAATGTGTCATACTAATATATCATAATTAATAGTAATGTGATACACTAATATATCATAATTAATGATAATATGACATATAATTGCGACATAATAACATAACCATATAACATTTTTCACCTTCCACATTAATTTTATATCAAAACTATGTGAAAATAAAATGATAAATGGTATTTTAACTAAAGGCAATTAATCAATCACTAAACATAAAAACTTATTTTACTCAAAATATAAGTACAAGAGCTTGATTAACATAATAAAAAAAACTTATTTAAATTTTTTTAAATAATTTAGAGGCTTTTTTGAGTATTATACTTAATTTATACAATTATCCTAACACTAAAAATTATTTTTATGTTAATTGCATAGTGTATTGAATATTTACTATAAAAAGTAGGAATATTTAATTTCCTATTTTGATGTCATGAAAGAACACCATGACATCATTGACATGTTAACATGTAAGGCATTTTGTGGGAATATTGGCAAAAATAGGCAAGCCAAGGTTTGGATTTGTAACTTTGAAAGCCTAGTCAAGTTCACAGTTGGGTCAATTTAATATGGAAGATAGCGTATTTCATAAATGCTAACGCACAGTGGGTCCTGCTCCCTAGGTAGTTGTATCAGATTAGGTGAATCAATCTCAATCATGCTTGGGACTTTCCTTTTTATTCCAAGAATAAAATAAATTATGTATTACTTACTTAATTATATATTTAAATATATTAATGTGGGACTTTTAAGATGATCATTCCACGGATTCGAATGGACATATATATATATAGATAAATGTCTTTAGTTGAACTGTGTATATATTTTAAAATATTAGTAATATATATTAAATATATTAACAATATATTATCAATGATTAATTTTTTGATGTATTAAGTTGTGACTTTGGATATGAAAAATCTTGAATAAGTTATCTTTCCTAATTGATTAATTTCAAAATAAAGAAAAAATTGAACCCAATTGATTTATTTTGATTGATTTTTTTCGATTTGCCTTGATTAATGCTCACCCTCAAGATCCTTATTATAGGATCATTAACTTTTTTTTTTCATTTATATTCTGTGAAGGGGGTTCACCTTCTTTTCTTCTTGATTTTGCTCATTGTTTTTCATTT